ACGCCCAACGCGCGCGTTCAAATCACCCAGCAGAAATAGTCGGTCACTCCTCGGCACAGACCGTATCACGGAGGATAGCTCAATGTAGAACTGATCACGCGTGTCATCAGGATAACACATGGTCGGACCATACGTGTTTATAAAAGTAGCAAACTTACCTCTTCCGAGTCGTAGGCGAACAGTTATCAGTCGCGCGCTGATGCCCGTTGGTTCACCCACCAGCTGACCATGGAGGCGATCGGATATTGCAAATCCGACCCCATGTTCACGTGGTGCTGTTGCGGCGTTGCCCACCCAGTAGAATGTGTAGCCAGCGCCTGCTTCATGCAACTTACCTTGCTCAGCGAGCCGAGTTTCACTGAGCGCCGCAATATCGATGTTGTGGCGCGCCAGCTCCATCGCGACGAGTGCAGTGCGTCGCTCCGGGTGATCACTGGAGTTCCGGTCCAGTAGTGTGCGCATGTTCCAGCACCCGATGCTGTGTGCTTTGCGCGCAGGTATACGATTGCATTGGTGGGCAATCGCACCCGAGATGGTCTTTGTGCTTCGGAGGTTTGCTAGAGGGACTCCGCCCGGAGCCTTTGGCTCAATAGCCTGACCCACAAGGCAGTGGGGAGCAGATCCAGCTCGGGAATGTGATTGCAGAGACAGATTGGGATCTGCTTGACGGCAGTCACGCACACACACACACATATATATATATATATGTATATATATATATATTCACAGTCTGTTAACAGACATTGTGGCATCAGAACCATGGCAGAAGAACAAGTGGAGAAGATAGGAACACGAACTGCGATTAAAAATGGGAAACCATTTTTTGGTTTTACGCACACCATTTTGACTTTTTTGTTTTGTGAGTTTTTCGTGTGTATTAAAGGAGGGATATAATGGCAGAACAACATTGACGCCACTGATGTCTGTTGCGGACCATGACGTCCAATGTTTCCAACCACTGCGATTCAGCATCTCATGGTCCCCAATCTGGAAGACGGACTGATCCGATTGCCGCCAAACTTGAGGTTGTCTTCTTCATGCTCCTTTTCCGCGTCATTGGCTATCCACCGCGGCACTTTTTCCAATCGCTCCCTGGGAGTGCAAATAGCGCTCGACGTGGAAGGCGGTGGGCTGGCATGCGCAAAACCTGCCCGGGTCAACGCATGCGATGTCGAATGATAACGTCCTAAAGACTGGCACCACTGGCTCCAAGCACGCTGTCTCGCACCTCTGCGTTGCTTACGGGGTGTTGCAACGACACCCGAGCAATCCTTCATAGACAGCGATTGTCGAAGACTGACAGCCGCTGCATGTCTTCCGAGCGAATAGGCCAGGTCTCACAGCCGTACAAGAGTACTGCACGGACGGAAGCATTGTACACCCTGCCCTTGAGCTTGAGACTGACATCACGACGACGCTATAGGTGTCTCGGTTTGGTGAATGCAAGGCGGGCCTTTGCATTCCGTTGTGGGACTTCATCTCCAACACTGCCACCAGCCGTGATGCAACTCCCTAGATAAGTAAAGCAAAGGATTTGCTCCAGAACATGCCCAGCAATGGGGAGCGCGGGTTCAGGCACCTGCCAGTCCTGGAGCAGCGTTTTACATTTTCCCGGAGTAAAGCATAAGCGGTACTTAGACGCCTCCATCGCAAAGAGGTCCAGAGCGCTCTGGACGATTTGTGGGTCGTCCTCCAGCAAGGCGATATCATCGGCGTAGTCCAAATCCGTGACTCTGTCTTCAGGGAGGAGCTCAACACCGCAGTTCTGTACACCTAGTGCTCTTTGGACGACATCTTCTATGGCGAAATTGAAGAGGAAAAGTGAAACAGTGTAATCATGGCGAACACCGCTGGTCATAGCAATCGAAGAAGAGAGCGTACCGTAAGCCCTGATTTTGCCTGAAGTGTGACCGTAAAGTTCTTTCAGGATAGTTGCAAACTTGTCGGGCACATCTTTCTTTAGTAAACAGTTCCACAACGCGAATCTATCTAATGAATCAAATGCCGCTCGGTTGTCCAAAGATACTACTATTGTTGGCCGCTGGTGGAGGTGACGAATTTCTAGAAGTTGGCGAAGCGTGTTTATTTGCTTGATGCAGCCTCGGCCTGGACGAAGTCTGGCTTGTTCTTCTCGGGAAAACTGCTCTCTACTCGTTGAAAGCTTGCGAAGTAGGGCCGACACGAAGATTTTGGATGCGACAGAGATTAACGAGATTTCGCGGTGGTTACAGCAATCGTCGCGGGAGCCCTTCTTGTGAATCGGAACAATGACCGATTCTCCCCTTGAGTTCGGAACCTTCTCCTCAGTATAAACTTTCATGAACAGCGATAGAATTTCGCTGACAAGTACACTCCCGCCATCTTTGAATGGAGCCGGTGGTAGGCTGTCGCGACCCGGAGCCTTGTGGCGTTTCAAACATTGGATTGCATTTCGGATCTGTGCTTTATTTGGGGGGGGGGGGGTTGTGGAGACAGGCCAGGCATCATCCATTGGGGCTGGAGGTGTCATAGGGGACTGTGTTGAGGGGTTGAATTGAAGAGCGTAATGCTCTGCCCAGTGACCCAATCGCCTGTGAAGGTTGGTGATTTTCGTGCCGTCTGATTCGCAAATCGTCTGGCTGATAGCGTGGAAATTGCAACCGGTGGTGCTGATGATGTAAAACAGACGGCGGAAGTTGCTGGCTGATGCGACGGCTTCCATCTCATCAGCTTGTTTTGACCACCAAGATTCACGATCAGAGCGAAGGCTTGCTTTTACCTCTTGCGTAACAGACCGGCGGTGTTCGTTGTACTCTGCACCAGCAGGCACCGCCCGTCGGCGATCCAGCAATTCCGAGGATCTTCCCGATATCCAGCTTTTGGGAGTGGAGCGAGCGGGACCACAGCTGGACAAACCGGCTGACAGCAAGGCTTGTTGCAGACTTAATTAGTGTTAATCAACATCCGGAGTGTGAGAGAGAACGAGAATTTCACGAAGCCTTTTTGATACTTCTTCTTCACCATTGCGTCCTCCAACGTAAATGTTCAGTCGGGTATGTTTCGACCTAGGCGAACCACCGAAATGCATGCAAACGGTCGCACATACCAGTGCATGATTGGTATCGACGCATATTGACCAAAATGATCGGCAGTCGCGTACGCTGCCACGCCACCTGCGACTTATAGCTATGTGGTCAATCTGTGACCAGCGCTGGGTTGATGATGGGGGGCGCCAAGTGGCGTACTGGTGTCCAGAATGACGAAAGCTGATGCTGAAGAGGAATAGTTGATGATCATTACAGAGACTGAGAAGTGTCTCTCCGTCTCTCTCTCTCTCTCTCTCTCTCTCTCTCTCTCTCATCATATCCATGCGGTCCCCCGAGGTGTCGCTCACATGGCAGCAGATGACTGACACACGCGTTTAAGTCTCCTGCCAAAACAATGATGTCTGTTTTAGGAGCCCGTAGGAGTAGCTCATGAAAGTTCTGGTAGAACTGGTCTTTGACTGTGTCTGAGCTACAGTCAGTGGGCGCGTAGGCAGATATCACGAAGAGAGCACGCTTTTCGACTCCACGTCTGTTAACTTTCCAAGAGCCATGGAGCGTCATCGCACAAAGGCGACTATTAATCGGAATCCAATCAATCAAAACAGTCTCGGCTCTAGCACTGAGGGTCTTTCTAACATCAGCTTGCCCAGATGCGGCTGACTCGGCGTCACCAGAGAGGCGGAGATGAAAGCGGGTGCGTGGGTAGAGCGGTGACACTAGGTGGTAGACCAAGTTAGAGTACTGGAGTCGTGTTTCATTCAGGAAGCAGATATCAATTCCAAGGGTCTCTAGCGTGCACGCAAGTCCAGCATGCTGACCGATCTGCAGTAATGTGCGTACGTTGAAGGCTGCTAGTTTGAACTGCGTTCCGGGTTGCAGGAGCGCAGATGGGAGACTTTGGGACTGGCAGCGCTCTGTTGAGCACTGTGTGGTTGAGTTGGCAGATGTCACGGGAACAGGTTTATCGGTGTAGATAAATAGCATGTAGAATACTCACAACTAACGTTCCTCACTCTCTCTAGGGAAATATTTTTGTATGGATATTTGTCGATTAGTTCATGGAATTTTAACAAACCTTTTACATTTGCGCAAAATTGGTGCCCAAAGACTTGTTTATAGATGGAAAGGAGAACCGGTTGGAAATTTGCTATGATTTGCTGAGAAGACTCGTAATTGAACCAAATTTCTTGGATAAGGTAATTACAGGAGACGCATCATAGATGTTTGAATATGATCCCAAGACCAAACAGTAAAGTGCGAAATGACACACGGAATATTCTTCTCGTCCGAAGAAAGCACGCAAGTGCATATCCAGGGTGAAAACGATGATCGTCATTTTTTCGACAGACGGGGAATTATGCGCAAAGAATTTGTACCTCCAGGCCTTCTACAAAGGTGTCTTGGAACGACTTCGAAAATGGGTCTAGCGAATCCGAAGGGACATTGCAGATGATTGGGTGCTACCTCACGATAACGCGCCTGTTCACACATTGTCTGTTATACCAGACGCACCAAGTTCCTCGTGAGCAGCTGTGATCCAAGGTCAGTCGGGTTATACCGAATTGCATTTTCTCGTCTTTTAATATGTCATTAGATTTCGTTGGCTAACTTATATGTGCACACACTAGAGCCTCCACAACCCCTACTCCCTCGTTGTCTGCACACTGTAAATGAGTGCATAGCAAATAGGCCACGCTGCTTAGGTTATTCGCCTCCGTTTATCTCTTGGTGGCCGCGAATCTTTTGTTTTCAGCTTTTTACTGGCTGCTCAATACCACCATTAAATAACCCACCCTCTGTTTTTTGTGTCATTAAACATTCCTTAATTTTCCTATCATAACAACTTGGCACTACCCCGTCTTAACAGCCGCATGGGTGTGGATCACTGTTTTTTTCATCACCTTTTTTCTATCATTTGCTTGTGAATGTCGTGGGTCACTGAGCCATTTGTGCGAACTTTTCCGTACACATCAGGTAACAGACAAATTTCGATCTCATTTGAATCCGTTCAACCTTGGATTTCTTGGGAATTGGCGTCGGTTTTATTGCGCACCGCAGTTTCCTCCGTAAGTTCCTGCCGCCTTTGGACACTGTTAACATTAAACCGTCTATTGTAATAGCATTTTGCCTGGAACTTTTGGCAACATATTGACATCAGTTCATACAATAGCACCGTTTGTTTTAAAAGACGCGTTATTAATGGTTCCATGGTGAAAGTCCACACGAAGATTACGCACCGCAAAAACCCACAGGCATGAGTGCCCACATCGAAATGTGTCCACATGGACAAATGCCCACACAGAAAATGTATACACGGAAAATAGTGGCAGTCTGGACGTTTTCCCAGCTTGCCTAATTATGATATGTGAACTTTTAAATACAATTACTTCTTCCATTGTGTACCTAAGTTGCAAATGCGGAGTGTTGACTGTATGTTGAGTCGAATCCCTGGCACACCTGCGACATGCGCTGTTACTCTCGCTTCCTTAGTTAGCACGGTTCACCGGTGTTGTCTTATAGCGAAACAGTTCCTTATTACCTAATACACAGATTCTCTCTGAATCATAATGTATCCGTTCTCAGTACTTCTCAAGCACAAGATAAAGGACCGTTTTTTTGTGATTTAGCAGTTCTCGCAAGGAGTGCTTGTTTGTGCATATGAACCATTACTTCATTATTCAATGGTGACACCACACACCCCATCACAATGTGAGGTGTAGCACTAACTACTATCGTGTCTAGCCTTATTTTGCTTTTGGTAGCATTGGTTTTTGTCTTTTGAAGACATGATCTTGCCGTTGCACTTCATCACATTAATACTTCTTTGCTCCATCTTTCAAATGCAGCCAATTCTTAGCAACACCCGCTGTTTACTCTGACTGTTTATGTCTCCTCCATTTATTTAAGTCATCTTTAATGAACATAGTGCATCTTTCTCCCGTGCTGCCAATCGTCTTCACTTCTCACACGCCTTCCGAATGACGCTTAGTGTTCGTTACCATTGCAAAGAGGCCGAAACGGCTGGGATTACATGCTTCCTTTGTTCACTGAGCTATGCTTGATAACTTTCGCTGCGCACCTCTAGAGCCATTCCTTCTCATAATTTTCTTTCGCAGGGTTTAGATGGAACTCTGGCTTTTTCCTCAAAACTCAGTTATATAATGCATCATTTCGCCGTTGTAAGCTTAATTTGATCAGCAACAGGCACGAATTGTCACTCATTGATCAGCTTGTGGTGACCAGTGTCAACCCACTGTAACCAGCTCGCTGTTGATCGGAATTGCACGCCTATCCTCATGTGCTGTTAATGATATAGGTATTAGACTGATTATGACCGATCTCAAGCGGGCCCTGTTGTGTAGCCCTCCGGGAAGCAAGAAAACTGGGCCGCGATCACGAAGTCATTTATCAAGATTACGCTCGAACATTTATAGAGTATATACACTATTTACAACTGTCCGTCTGAATGGCTCATCCCTGTTATTTGCATTGTATCGCTGGCTCCTTTTCCATTGGTTTATGCTTGCTCGCCACGTTCACTCTGTCTAAAATCACCTTGACTTTCTTAGTGGATGTACGATTGGCGGGATTGGGTCTGCGCGCTTCTTCCTCGGTCCATTGCCACAAGCCTTGGCTCAAGAGTGCACGAGTATGCGCTCCTTCGCCTGCTGGCACCTGATTGATCACTTGCACGTTCGGTGGATGGTTGTAGGTTGGACGCGATTACTGGTCAACTATTTCCTGATTGGCTGACCAATCTGCTTCCGGCAACATGCTCACTCCTTATCGGTCTGGCCGGTGACGTTCGATCGGCATTACAGCATTTCCAATCACCAGCAATTCCAGCCCTCATCATGGGCCCCAAAGGGACTTCGCGTTCACAGCCCCTTATCGGATCCACTTTCCAACATCCGACAGTCTACTTCCCATTCTGTTATCCTCTCGACTTATGTGCCAACGGTTGGAGGTGGACATCCTCGAACGTAAATTCCTCTTGGAATGGCGGCTCAATAACACTTGCCAGCGATTATCCATCGCTTCACCACCTTAACGATTTACACATGTATAGCTTGTTTCTCCCCCAGTTTATACGCAAACTTTTCCACAAATATTTAAGCCAAGACTAATGCCCAGCTTCGCTCCTAACCTTCCTTACTGCCGGTGAACTTGTTAATATGACTTGTGTTGACCGAAAAAGAAGCCAATCTGTGTAGAACCTCTGGAATTCGCATATTACTCTTCTCCTCGTGGTCGCTCATTTTTCCTGGTTGCACTCAATTTCACCCTGTTAAGCTTAGTCGCTAAATGCTTTACTGAGCCAATCATGCAGGTCATTTCTGCTCATTACTCCGTGACAGTTGTCTTGGGTATATGAGAGAATTAGCTGCTCAAATGGGACCCGAACTCAATGGTTCCCACTCACTTTGTCTGGAGAATTCTCACTGTTGACGGCTCCCGAATGGACAGAACCGTCGCCTAGTGATCTTCCTATTTTACTGACCGTGTGCTAGATGTCATGTATATCCAGCGTTGCAGTAAAACATCAACAAGAAGATCAGTAGCTTTTAGTTGGTTGCCTTGTTTCTTGGAGCCACTTGATTCACACACCATAGATGCAATACCGAACAGGATTTTACTTATAAATAAATAAACGTTTATTTTCGTCGATGCGAGACACGTCTGCGTGATCATTGAAGATTGAAGTCCTGATGATCTTGATGACTGCTTTTGGTTTGCTCTCGGTTCAACTGAATTATCCCGATCCGGGCGTATGGCGCGTGATCCAGCCCAAAGCTGATTTCGCCTCAAATAAATCTCCTGATTAAAGCTCGCATTGTTGTTTACCGGAGGTGATATTTGTAAAATATTTATGGCATCACTAGTGTGCCCCAACCAGCTTCCGCTCCTTTCTCTTTTTCCTCCTGCTGTGCTGCAATGGTTCACTCGTCAGCTGAAATATGAACACACTGCATGTAGCCTTTATATAGCTTTGAGATATTTGCTGAACGACTTCCATAGGGTGATCCAACAACCAATAGTTCGGCGGATTTGTTCGCCGGCATTCCTGACTCCGATTCGTCGTGAAGCACATTATTTAAGTTGAACTGATCTGTTACGGAGTCCAGTTTCCACATAGGTTCATGGAATTGTAACATAGATGTCGAGTTGCCCTCCCTGTATGCGCGCGCTTTATCTCCCGTTCCCTTTGCTCATAGCCACCCAGATGACGTTAACAAGCGGAGGCTTAAGCGCCGGCGAGCGCGTACATCCTGGTTCAGACATGGAGGACGTTCCAAAGAACAACACGATTTACTCCCCAAGTCCGCACTCAAGCCTTTCTTTTCTGGAGCCGATGCTGACCACTTAACTCAGGTGACTTCGCACGAGAGTGCTGTATACTCTCAGCCCAATCGCGTGCAGACTCCTCATCCGGAACCAGAGCATACCATATTTGGGCGAATCGAGCCCCGGCGACCATTAGCAAATGAATTTTCTGGCATCGATTCATCTTACCCTTTCGAGTCCAGACATACCTACCGACCTGTGCAAAACGGAGCTCTTCCTGGTGTTACGATACCCAGTGTTCACACAGTCACGGTAAGTATAGTAACTTTTCGACCGAATATGTACCAATCCTGAATCTACTTTTCTTTCATCTGAAATAGTTTCCTTTCGTTGCTCATTGTCCGTGCAGACTTGATCCACGCCTCCGCTTGTATGAATTTTCAGCTATGTGTACCGTTCGTTCATTGTCGTTGGAGTTAACTAATGGTGACATATTCAAGTTCCACCCTTCCTTCACTTTTCTAAGTTGCAGATGAAGGGCGCCGTCCACCGTCATTATCCGTGCTGACTGCGCTACTCCTGTGAATAGTTGCTTCCTCATTGCATTCCACTCAGCGCGTTGGTTATCAGTTAGCATCACCAGGTTGACCGTCTTGGGTGTACCTCCGACAATTATGTACGTGGAAGATGTACACTATAGTTTTGGTACCATAAGATAGGATATTCTGACCGTTTTTCAATGCTTAAATCCAAACTACGAAGTCCAGACGAATGTGTGCCCATGGCTTCTGCTTCCCTTGCATGCACTGCAATGCCAACTTCCGCCTGTGCTCCTAATGCTTGCTCTCCAAACTGTTTTCGACTCCTTCCAGTGTCACAGCGCTCCATTCTCATTGACAGCTATGCATCCGCTTTTTATACTACTCGGTTTGTTCTTTTGTCCTAGACTAAAGTACTTTGCAGAGCAGGTCTCTGCATCTCTGGATGATGTGAACTGTGAAGTAAAACAAAGGCCTGATCGTCAAAAGTATACCGAAATGGATGTGGTCGTTTTGGCTCCCATTAGCCAGTCACTATAGCACTCTGCTCAGCGACAGTTATATGACTCGACAATCTAATTCGTTGGTCACTGCTTAACTACTTCCCGGATCTTCTAGAAATTCTTGTGGCATCTTGTCTGCCGATGCCGTGGTTGAACTGACTAGGTACCATCGTCTCGACGAGACTAAGCATGTATAGGGCACATCTCTTGTGTATCTCTAACCCATTGAGGTAAGCCTAGTGGCCATCTATTCATCGCAGTCAGGTGCCCGTCCTCTGATTCATTACTTCTGCAACAGATGCTCACTAACTTGTCTCGTGAGCAGTCAAGGCATTCCTACTCTCTTGCGATCAGCTTTTTGAAATAATGTACTTCAATAATGGCCTTAATCCTTCTACCCAGGCCATAGACATCCTCGTATAGACTAATCTGCTATGGAGACTATCCGTCTGTTTGGACCAGTCAGGAACATCCCAAATAGTTTCCCTGTATTTTCTCGTTGGTCTTAATCTGTGTATCGCGTCCACCAGTCCAACGCAACCGCCACCGCGTTTTTGTGGGTCCCCAGGCATTCTAGCACATGTAAAAGGCAACCACCAATAGCAGGATTGGCTGAGCTTTCGTCCTGAAGTGTCATGAAAGTCTGCCACCATAGAGCACAGATGGCTTTGATTTCGTCTCTAGTTGTCATTAATGGCCGCTCGTTCTGCTTCTCTTCGTTGAAAGCCTAAATCATAGCAATACAGTGGCCAATTACTTGTCCGCGCGTGTAAATGGGTGCCTAAGGAGTCTGTGATTTGTCCACAAGAGTACACGTGATCGGTAAGTCGCGAACACTATAGGGAAACTGTTTGCAGTTGTCTAGCCACGAGAGTAATAGGTCCGTATAAATTACCGGCTATACATATATATATATATATATATATATATATATATATATATATATATATATATATATATGCCCTATACTGAGGCTTAGGTTGCATTCATGATGCTTCTTCACCGCAGTTGGGCTAAACCAACTCACTCTTAAACTAGGTCTTTTTAAGCTGAATACATTTCATTCCACTTTTGGTTTGTTCTGCCTACCTGACTAATCTTCTGTTAACTAGCCACGTTGCTTGCGCTGATTGTGGTTATCTTCGTTAACTTTATTGCGTTTGTAGCATTTTTGAGTAACTTCTGGACATTCTGTACTCATCACGGATTCGTTGCTAACCAACTTACTTCATATGCTAATTTAGGGTAGAGTTATGTCTGCATAGCCGTATTCTTTAACAGATATATTTTATTTGATAATGTCACTTCAAGTGATTGGCTGTTGTTTGACATCCCAGATGTGGCTGTGCTTGATGTGAATGTTGACAAGGTGCCTACCTGTTTATTATCCAATACCTCATCCATACCGGCTCTAGGAGACAGTTGGTCGTTGCTGGAGGGGACGGGGTGCACGATCCTTATGGCGCTGCTAAGCTTGAAGAGTACTTCCATGCACTCATTGTGGAGCAGACTACGGTCCAGCCAGCGCCTTGTGTGCGATTAATTCCCCAATACAACGTGCTTGTGTTAGCCTGTGAAGGAGTGTGAGCCGGCTCCGTTGATGAAACGTGGCTTCCATCCACATCCCTCCCGGTCTTATTCCCTCAGGTTTACACTGGATATGAGGTATAGGTGGTTGGAGCTATGGATGGTGCAGCGCAAGCCAGCCACCCATGCTCCTTCTGTAGGCGCAGGCGTCCTGTGGTTGTCCACAGTGACAGGCAAATCCGAAACCGGATGCCGCCAACCATATATGTATGGTTGGCCACATCCAGCACCGGATTGACCTGTCACTGTGGCCTCCATAGGACAGCCACAGGATGTCTGTCCCTACAAAGGGGCCTAGGGTGGCTTACGCTGCGCCATCCACAGCTCCATCCAATCACCCCATATCCAGTGTAAACCCGAAGGAACAAGCCCGGGAGGCATGTGAATGGAAGCCACGTTTCATCAACGGAGCCGGCCTACACTCCTTTACAGGCTAACACAAACACGCTGTATTTGGGGAATCAAGCGTACACAAGGCGGTGGCTGGACCGTAGTTCGCTCCACTCTGAGTGCATGCAGCCACCCTTTGAGCCTAGCACGACCGCGCGGACCTTGCATTCCGTCCCCTCCAGCAATGACCAACTGTCTCCTGGAGCCAGTATGGACGGAGTATTGGATGATAGGCAGGTAGGCACCTTGTGAACATGCACGTCAATCACAGCGACACAGGGGATGTCAAACAACAGCCAATCACTTGAAATTACATTGTCAACTAACATCTGTCGAGTAAAGCACACGAATATGCCGACATAATGAACATATGAATTAACGTGGTTATCAATAAATTCGCATTACGTTGAAGATGTCAGGAAAAGGTCTTTAAAAATTGCCACAAACATGAAATGTTAACGCATTTAACCATCATTGGTTTAAGCGACGTGTGCAGGTTAATAGAAGATTATTCAAGTAGACATTAAATGAAGTGTGATAATAAGCATTTAAACAAGATAGTAAACCTACCACCTGAAATAAAGTGACTCAGCACGCAAGCACGCGGTTAGTAAGTCGAATGGAAGTGCATGCAACGTACCCACCAACGCTGTGCCGGCTCTGCTTCCATTCTCCGCAGGATCCGTCGTCATTTCGATGCTGATCCGGAGTGGCCTCGCTCGTGGCTCACTAGGTCTGCTCGACTCAGGCACTCACGACCGCATGTGCTACGGCACCATGCGCTCGACGTCGATGGTGTACACCCCATCGGCGCCTGACGTTTTCGCATCCGCCGCTTCTCCGTATGCACGAGGACTTTCTCCTGCACCTCGTCAACTACCTTCGTGGTCGGATCGCGCCATTCACGCCGATCAACCGCCTTCGATTCCCATGACTTACAATCAAGATTAGAGTGTGAAAGGCTTACTTTCATCACCTCCTGATAACGTACCTTCGGTTTCCCCCCATGCCACTTCATCACACTCAGCTGACCATATAGCTTCTTTGGTATCCGCATTGAATCCTTGTAGCGCATAAATAAATATACTTTATTGTCGTAAACGCGAAGCACACCTTTACAGGCATGATCATCTTAACATAACAAAGTGTGGTCAAACATTTACAAATATACATGTTTGTTTAACAGTGAATGTATGTGCATGGATGTATATACGTATATAATTGTTATGTTTGTCCCATGCTGAGGCTGATGTTGCATTCATGATGCTTTTTCACCGTAGTTTGGCTAAACCATATTACACTTAAGCTAGGTCTTTTTAAGCTGGCCAAATTGCATTCCACTTTCGAAACAGCAAGCGGAAAATACATTGTAACAGGATACGCTGAATTCGCGTATTTCGAGTGTTCTCGTCAGCTGTTTACACACATTGGTGAAATTATCGCGTTGCATACGACAGGGGAAGCAATGTACAAGGTCATTCAGTTCAGAGGAAAACGATCACTAACCTCATCAAGTTAGGGCGAGACTGGCCGTAAGTTCAGTCTGCTTGCACATATTGGGCTTAAGCCGCCGAATAGCTGAGGCTTCGGTAAACTGAAGCAATCAGGTATTGCTCTATATTTTGGTTGCTTTAAACAATTCACGTGGACGTTGGCACTTTGTGCAATCTAGGCCGTGTTGATCAATAGAGCTAGCCGGCAGTTTGGGACCGTTAGCGACCATGTTTCGTGGAATGTGCTCTGAAATCCTAGTGGATAGCCTCCTCTCAGTTCGGCCAACGTACTTGCTACACAATTACAGTGGAATAGATAAACACAAGAGGCGGTAACGTGAGGGTGTGGCTTGTTCAGGTTGGATTTGCAGAGCAACTTCCTAACTTGATGCAATAACGCCAGTTCGGCCGCATAACATTTTCCAATTGCCTGGTGGCGACGATGCTGGAATCTTTTATCGTTTTGATCGCCTTTAAATGGCAGCGTAATGAACACTTTTTTCTTGGGGACACTTATCAAAGGCTTCTTACTAGTTTCTACCTTGCATACCGAGCTATGAATCTCTCGGCGTATCCATTTTCCTGTAGTGTTGATGACATGCGTTCTAGTTCACTGTCGATCATATCTTCGGAACAAATTTTACGAGCTTTTGCGCAGGTAGAGCGCACTAATGCTCGTTTATAATTTATAGGACAGAAACTGTTGAAGTTCAGATATTGTCTTGTCCAAGTAGGCTTTCGATACACAGATCGAGTGAGTGTGCCTTCTGCATTCATCTTCAGGTTTACATCCAAAAAGT